TTCCTCATTTTGTTTTAGAACTTGGATTAGATTTTCTTTTTTTCTTCTGACCCATTTCGCATTTCTGTTGAATGCTGGGTTTCATTAAGCTTGTTTGCATTTTCCCTAAGTAATGTTTATTAGGTTTCAACTTCAAGTTTTTTACCCATTAGCAAATACTGTGGTTCTGCAAATATTTACATTTTTGTTCAAGCTATTTACTTCTACACAAAAATGAGAATAGTTTTGATTTTTAATTCCAAATGCACTGGTTTATTTAGGAGGAAATGATTAATAGACAATAAGAACTGGAATATTTTCATTTCTGGTGATGCATGCAGAACCCCATTACTGACAATTAATTTGATGGGGAAAATGGCCTTAGTCCCACACATTTCAAGTGAGCATGAGTACTTTTGATTATCATATTCCACACCGGAAACTTTTCAAGAGAGCATGAGTATTTTGATTATCATATTCCATACTGGAAATCTATGGATTCAACCAGACTAGATAAGAAGCTGATGTTTCATTTTCAAATGAAGAGGTCACATTCAGCACCCACAACCTGCCAGCTGACTCATCCACCAGATATCTTTGCTTCTTCAAAAATGCTTGACTCATTCCATCTGCAATAACCACAAGAAGCAAAGCAAACCACGCAGAACACACAGAGAGACAGCTTACAGTAACGCTAAATTAATCCACTGAGTTTTGAGGGAAATAATCTCTGATTTCATCCTACAGATGATAAACTATTTGGAAAAAGACAACATGTAATTTTTTCTTTAAAAGTGTTGAATCTCTTGCAGACACAGTGGACTCAGTTTGTAATAAACCAATCAGTGAAATTAATTAACTAAAGCTTGATTGATGGATTAACATTTTTTCTACAATGCAGATTAAAATCTGGAGTTCAAGTTCTCAGCTAGTGCAATGATGGGGGAAAGTATGACATGAGCAGGGTATTTAGCTCTCAACAAAAGAACTCCCCAAGTGAAACATTTTTAAAAAGAGGCCAATGCTCTAAACCAATGTTTCTCAACCTTTCTAATGCTGCGACCCCTTAATACAGTTCCTCGTGTTGTGGTGACCTCCAGCCACAAAATTATTTTCATTGCTACATCATCACTGTAATGTTGCTACTGTTATGAATTGCAATGTAAATATCTAATATGCAGGATGTATTTCCATTCACTGGACCAAATTGGCACAAATACCCAATATACTCAAATTTGAGTACTGGTGGGATTGGAGGTGGGATTGATTTTGTCATTTGGGAGTTGTAGTTGCTGGGATTTATAGTTAACAACACTCAAAGAATATTCTGAACTCCATCAACGGTGGAATTCAACCAAACTTGGCACACAGAACATCCATGACCAACATAAAATACTGGAAGGGTTTGCTGGGCATTGATCTTGAGTTTTAGAGTTGCAGTTCACATACATCCAGAAAGCACTGTGGACTCGAACAGAGATCTGGACCAAACGTGGCACGAATACTCAGTATTTCCAAATGCGAACACTGGTGGAGCTTGGGGAAAATAGACCTTGACTTGGGAGTTGTAGTTGCCCCTACAATCAAAGAGCATTCTGAACCCCACCAATGATAGACTTGGGCCAAACTTCCCACACAGAATCCCCATGACCAACAGAAAATACTGTGTTTTCTCCTCTGACACCTCCTTCGTGGCTCCCCCCCCCCCCCCCCCCCCCCCCCCGAGTTCCGATCCCCAGATTGAGAAACGTTGCTCGAAACAACCCAAAATGTAGTATTTTGCATTTTCCACAGACCTCCACAATTCCTGAAGCTCTATAACCCTCCCCATCTAAAACATTTAACTGGATGTGGCTAAAACATTTAACTGGATGTGATACGTTATCACTTCTGTTATGGCAGGATTGTATCCGTGTATCTACTAGAAGGTTACTGGGAAAGGGGATACACACAGTTATCTTCCTTAATGTTACAATTGATTCTTCTTCCCTACTGTAGCTTCTCACTCGCTATCTCCAATCTGCTCTAGGGAACTAGGAGACATTTGGGAGAAGATGTCAAGGAATATAGGGGGAGGCAGGGGGAGAGGAAGGTAGTGGAAGTCCCATTTGACAGATGGAAATACTTCACATGATATTTAATGAAGCTTATAGCAATGCTAAATGTACGGCTGACTACTTGTGTGAGAGGATGTCTATGGAACTATGGAAATGTACCAATAGTAGAAATCTCCTGTGAAACAGATGTCATATTTATGCATCACACTGAGCAAATCAGTAGTGTAAGATTACTTACCTGGCCAACTGCAGAATTATTTTTTAGATTTGTTTCTAGCTTAAAATGGTTAGTAAAACTTGATAACTCATTAAACCATTTGTAACTTTTTGTGTAATTGTAACATCTTGCTCTCGTGAAATATACTACTTTGAAATTTGATACATCATTTTGAAACACCCTGTATAATAACTTGGGAACAAACCTTACTGAGCTCAAAGTGCTTACTTTGGAGTACAGGTGTATAGGACTAATTGCTACTTACTTAAGGTGGCAATTGTTTTTTTTTCAAATAGCTCATGATTTTATCATAATTTCATAATCACAATAACAAATATAATTCATATACTATTTGATTTCTGTTGCAAGGTTTATTATAATTCCAATGGTGCTCCACTGATATACTTGAAAACTTCATATTTTATTCTGTTTTAACAAGAAGCATTTGCTTTTCAAATTCCCTCTTAATATTTCATCTTGCCTGCCAAAAACTAATGCTTTGTTCTATAACGATTAAACCAAATTCTTATTATTTAGAGAATGAGTTTGTAATATGAATATATTCTTGTTCACTGTTATGTACCCGTAACAGGCTTTGTCCTTGGTTTTTGGTTTCTTTCTTCTGGGGTACACATAAATCCTGTTTCTCTAAAAAGGTATTATTACAGATTCAGTGGATTTTCAGTACTTTTCACAACCAGCTCCCTAATGATGTCCCAAAGAGGTGAACAATTTAGCTTCTAAAAATACATTTATCAGCCCGAAAGAGGACATATTTCACAGTTCAAAAAGTGAACTATATTCTCCTATGTTAAACCAACTAATAGCTTTCAGTGGCTTACTGGCTTTCCTTTACCAATCCTAGACTACACCTATGCCTCAGTTAAACAAAATTAATGTGTTCCTGGATATTAGCTCTTTAACAGATTTTTTTTACTAAATACAGAAATAGGACAGAAAAACAGGGAGATATTCCCATACTGTAAAAAAATGAGTTCAATGTGAATGAGTTCAGCCATTCTTCCTGCAAAAACCCCTAAAATATGTATTTGATACAAGACAATCAGGTAGGCCAAGACTTGCTAAAATAAAGGAAAACATTTTGACCTTCTAGCCTGAAGGCATCTTCCAAAATGCATCCAGCGATTACCTTTTGTTTCACCCATCTCCATTTTTCTTAGAATTTCCATTTTGATGATCAAACCAATTGATCTCTTTTTTTTTAACATGATGAGGATAATTGATGAGGCTGCGTTAAATATGCTCTTTCCTTTATGTTTTGCTATTCACATATGTTCAGTAAGGGATTCTAGGTTCATTATGTCTGTTGTTGGTAGACACATGCAGCTACAGTAGGATCAGGGTAGCCACGGTGGCACAATGGGTTAAGAGCTTGTGCTGGCTGAACTGCTGGCCTGAAGACCTGAAGGTCTACAGTTCAAATATGCGAGATGGGGTGAGCTCCCATCTGTCAGCCCTAGCATCCCATGCGGGGACATGAGAGAAGCCTCTCACAGGATGGTAGCACATCCACGCATCCCCTGGGCCACGTCCTTGCAGACAGCCAATTCTCTCACACCAGAAGCGACTTGTAGTATTCTCAATTTGCTTCTGACATGATAAATAAGCAGGATCAGTATTCTTTCCCCAACTCAAGCTTTATTGCAACTTAAGATTTGAAGTCTGTGTTTCTCCAGTCCTCCTTAGTCACTTACCCAATATCGAGCTGCTGAAAAAGCTTCCAGCTAGACAGAGGACAGGGGCTTATCAAGGCTTTGTAAAAAGGAGCTTCTTTATCAAGGTACTTCTTAATTGAGGTATATTTGTACTTGGTTTTCACCACACAGTTTGAACTAAATTAAGTAATTAATATTGGATGAGTGTAACTTTTCTGCTCCTAACCTGTGTTTCCTAGTATCTGGGTTTTATCAGTTCATTAAAAGTGAATGATGAGATCTAGACAATATTGTCTGTTTTATTCTCAGTTTTCTTTTGATTCCAAGGCAAATGTATTAGCTGTGCTCTGCTGCCAGAGCACAGCAAATGCATTTGCCTTGGAATCAAAGTTAAACCAAGCCCCAGCCCTCATATAAAAGCACTTTCAAATCTGGAAAGACTGTGCCTCCTCAAGATCTTTTTCCTGAGAACCATATAGATCATTATGTTCCATTTTCTGGCAGAAAAGAGTCTTTTCGTTCAGGCAACTTTTGGCAATTGTCTGCTTGCTGAGAAATAGAATTCTAATGGATTGATATAATTGTATTTTGAATTTTTTTAACAACATTGTATTTTAATATTATTTTTTTACTTATATAGCTTTTCCCCTGATTTTACTTCTACCTGTTTTAATTCTCTCATGAACTCCAAGAATCCCTAATTTTGAGAGATATGCAGGAAAGAAGTCAAATAAATAAACAGAAATATATGGCATGTGCAACAGCATCATTGGTCATATTCAATTATAAGGTCAAGCACACCAAACAAGGTAAAATCACACATTTTCAAAATCAGTTCAACTTCAGGCTCTGGATACAATGTTCCCTTTCATTTTTAAACAAAATATCTTGAAGGTGAATATGTATCTTCTTGTGCAGCTAGGCTTCCTTCTCAGTGTGCATATATTCCAAAGAGGATGATACAGTGCGTCAACAACTCGGTTGTTGAACTCAGGACATAACCCAACAATAGATAAATATAAGAATGCTTTAACTTATTGCATTTTCTTTACTATGATAGGTTGCACTTACCTCCATATGTGCAAATGTTACTTCATCGTTCACTATTTCCCCTCTGTTTGAAGAAACACTTTCACCTTTCATCTGAAAGTGTGTTTTAGTCATGTAGCCATCAGTGGAGTCCTGTGTTTGGAAAAACATATTTTCATTTAGAAGGTTTTAGATATGCCTTCAACCGCAGATTGCTGTCATTGAATAAATCAAAGGGTTCCAGCAGTAAGTCCTACAGAGAAGTTTCAGGTACAAGTAGTCCAGTACACCTTTTAGTTGAAACTTGGTTATTCACCCAAACTTTAGGGACCCAGCAATCACTATTTTGTTTTGGTGTATCTGATTTAAAGTTTTGTCTGATCTGTTTGTGCCTTGACCTTTGAATACATCAACTAAGTTGAACAGTTTAAACTTATTTCAGTCACTTTAAAACCAAATTGTTACAAGTGGTTTAAAATAGTTCTAAAACTATTTTTATTCATAGGATCCTACTCTGACATTTTTGACAGGACAGAAATATTTTAATATATAAAATAACCAATTATTTAACCATAACTCATTTCCCAGAACTGAAGAGATACCTGCATTATATACTCTGCATCTCATCTCTTTGTTCCCCTGAAATGCAGTAGTTATGCTATATAAACTCATGCACAAATTATTCTAATACTAACTAGAAATTGACACTAAAATTGACACTAAAATGGGTCAACTTACTCTCAGGTCATTGTTAATCCTGTGGCCAAATGCAGACGTCTATGCTATCTTAATACACTGGGGTTAGCAGGTGAGACTTACCTGTAATGACTACTATCCTAAGAAAATTTAGATCCCAGGGAAGTCTGTAGCTAAGGGGGCAGTTTAGGGGTTCAAACCACCCCCAAAATTTTTCAGGTAAAAAAACCCCCTGATTTACTCATGAATTTTAACTGGTTAACCAAATTCCCATGACAAATATATGAGAAGCAAAAATTAGAGTCCCTCAAGAACTACAAGTACTATCTCAACCAAATTTTGACTATTGACACTGTCATTCCCTACCTTTCTACCAACTTGCATTGCAATAACAGCAATAGCTAACATAGTGGAAGCGACGAAGTTAGTCTATCCACAACTGGCAAGCAAAGCAGCGCGGGGGGGGGGGGTTGACCTGGATTGCAGGTGAAAACTGAGGAAACTCTGGAAACTGAGGTGTCTATCACTGGTTCATCTAATCCAAGACCTGCCAAAGAAACAATGGAACAGGAGCAAAGAGAAGAGGATGTGTCACTGGACTTTATATGAACAAGACTGCTTCTGATAGTCAAGTGAAAACTCAATTCGTGCAAAATACACAAACGACATTGTCAGCATATGTATTTCCTATGGATAAGAAGAGGCATCTAAGTTTTCAACCCTAATGGTTCAACAGATTTCCCTAGTCAGCCTACTCATTTCATGTACAAGGTGCACTCTGTAAGTATAGTGTGGTATGTAGAGGAGAAGCTGGGAGTAAATGTGGTCATCAGAAGCTTGGTACATTGGTTGCTAAACCATCTGTGTGATGGGAAAATGCAATAGAAGTTTTTGATAGACACCAAAAAACAGTACCATCAGAACAACTTGTGTTTGGCTGAAAACTTCTTGCTAATTCACAGTGGAAACTGTCTTGATAATAATGGAAATAAGAAGAAAACAGAAATAAACTTTCTTATATATTTACTATATTTATACCCCACCCTTCTCACCCCAAAGGGGACTCAGAACAGCTAACAAATTGTGGCAAAAGTTCAATGCCACATCAAACACAAAAAATAAATATACCACATTAAATTATAAACAGTTAAAACATGAAGCCCCTGTCCTTTTGGAGCACAACACATGCTTTCACCCTTTCACTGTTTTACTTGTTCATATATGTTCTGGTACGGCTGTACCAGGAGCTCCAGTTTACCTTGCCATTTGTGGATTGCTGCATGTATTTTAAAGTTCTATGCATTTGCAGTTAGATGGCTTTCCTTACTTTGCAGTTATTGGGTCAATGACCTGTCAATTATCATTAGGTTCCCTAGTTCCGCCCCCTTTTGAGTTTTGGTGGGAATTAGGAGCCATTTTGGCTCAGTCCACACAGAGAAGCCTTCCTTACAGGACTCAAACCAGGGTCTCCTGTAAAAGGCTTCATCATTTACAGCTTGGCCGGGGAGAAAAGGCCCCATAGCTTGGCCAGGGATATACAGCCTCAGCGCAGCTTTTGCTGGGGACTTTACAGTTTGCAGAGTAACTTACAGCCTCCCAGCTCTCTTGCTAGGGATCCAGTCCCTCTCTCTGAGGCAACCCCGACGTCCCGTTGGGCTAACAGAATTTAAGTCCTGTTTACAGTCTTTTATAGGAGCACAGTGAGCGACAGCACAATATATACCCAGTTAGGGATTCTGAAGCCAGCTGTCATTTCCCATGCCAGTTGAAGTTAGATACATACAGCTACAGTAGGATCAGCTGTAGCAGAAACCCATATTTCCACAGCCCCAACTTTGTGTTGTTCATTGCAGACATAATGCTGCAATCTGAAAGTCTGTGTTTCTTGACCATCCTACTAAAGTAGATTTTGCTTAAAAAAAAAAATCCAGTTGTTAGAGGATAAAGAGGGAAGGAATGATGGGTGGACTTTTTAAAAACTTTGTAAAAGGGAGCTTCTTTTTCAGAGGCTTTGTTAACCGAACAACAGAAATGGGTAAGTAATGTATACAGAATCGAGGCCAGGCAAAAATAAATTGCATGAAAGATCTTCATAATCTGGTCCCCCCCCCCCCCCCCAGTATAACAGGCTTCCCATTATACTATGGGACATGGTTTTTGTTGCTGGATTATAAATGTCATTTCCTAATTGGTTCTATCATTAAAACATGGAAAAGGTTTATTAAACTGCAAAACCTTTGTTTTTGCAGGACACCTTGCAGCACATTTTGCCACAGTTTTTCAATGAATATCTCACTGAGTCACCAATTCAATTTGTGGCAGCCATAAAAACGAAGTTTCTGGAGTATAACAACTACTTTCAAAGTAAGTATCAAACCAGGAGTATATTTTTTTGCAAATTTTGTTACATAGTGTTATTTAAGCAATCATCAACATTTTTGAGCTGAAAAACACCAATGAAGGCTTAAGATTAATTTTAAAAGCATACTACTGACAATGATCTCATAATGATGGTAAAATGTATTATTTGTAAAAATAAATCTAATGTCAAGAACGGTATTCAGAAAGAAGTATATTTGAAAAAGGAGGGCTTCTTCTCTTTATACATCTGGGCAAAATATATGTATACATAAATAGATCTGGGAGAAATGACCATAAATGAATCTGTTCTTAATACTGTAGTTAATAAACCCATTTAAAGATAAATTGTCAAATACAGTCAAAATAAAGCAAGGTGATTTTATTTAAAACATGGCTGCTGACCTACTTTTCAGTTAGGTGCAGTACAGATGGCAAAACTGTAAACAGTGACAAAAAAAGTTCAATAGAATTTTCAATAGAAGCATTTGACAAGAAGCAAAAAGATATATCCTTCCCATATGTTGTCGAAAATGGCGCTGAGAAGTTACCATCTGCAAAACAAGAAAATGTGAAGTGGCACTTTCTAAAATTAAACACTGAAAATATGAAGACCCACAAAACTCAAATTAAACAGTTCTATAAGAATGTGTGTGTGTGTGAGTGTTAAAAACTGCTGGCTTATATTTCAAATGCGAAAGTTTGATAAAGTTCAAAAAAGTTTATTTACTTATTTGCGGTATTATTATACCACCCATCTCAACCCCTAAGGGGACTCAGGGCGGTTCACAGCTCTCGTGTTTTAAAATTTAATTCACATCAGTCAAGTATTTCTAAGAACTATAAAAACAGAAAAGATGTAAGAACACTTCTTATACAACACAATTAAATAACCGGAGAAAAAATAGATAAATATTAATAAAATCAATTTAAGATTTTTTGCATTAACATATGGAGGGGCTAGATAATAATTAATAACAACAGATACATTATTATTATTATGTCCTATTGTTTTTTGGCAAATGTCCCTTGACGCAAATAATATATTTATCAATGAGTTGAAAGAAGTGCCACTGATTAAGAGATGAAGACAAGTATGATCAGAAGAGAGCATCTTTAGTTCATATACTGGTAACAGGAATGAATACTATCCACCTTTGAATCTAGAACATGTGCACAGGGTTTCCTCAACAAAACAACCTGCTTGTTGCAACTTTGCCATAGAAGAATTGCAAAAACAGAGATAGTAAACATTTTAATAAGTTTTCAAATGTAAAATGCTACATGCCCAAAAAACAATGGGAATATATCCAATCAATTTTAACCTATGAATATAAACTTGCATTTTATTAGCAGCAGCAATATTATTACATAAATCATACCTGAATAGGTAAGTAAATATAGTATGTAACATTACTTCTTTCTGATCAGGTATACTATGTTTCACATAGATCAGTGGTTCTCAATCTGTGGGTCCCCAGGAGTTTTGGCCCACAACCCCCAGAAATCCCAGCCAGTTTACCAGCTGTTAGGATTTCTGGAAGTTGGAAGGCCAAAACATTTGGGGACCCACAGGTTGAGAATCACTGACATAGATCAATGCAGTTCCCATAACAAATAATATGCAACACAAAAGTCAATGGAATATCTCTACCACTTCTGTGTCTTCTTTTACTTGACCTGGCTAATATACATTGTAAGCCCAATGTAAGCAGCCATTTACGCTGTATCTACATTGTGGAATTAATGCACTTTGGGACCACTTTAACTGAGCTGGCTCAAATGCTATGAAATCCCAGAAGTTGTGGTATGGTGAGGAATCAGCACTTTTTTAGCAGATAAGGTCTTGCAAATCCACAACTTCCAGTATTCCATAGCACTGAGAATGGCTGTTAAAGTGTTTTCCAAATACAATAATTGCACAGTGGAGATGTACTCTTAGTGCCCCTACTACGCTATGTAGCAAATCTTGTGGTTGTTAGCTGCCTTGAGTCCCCTTAGGGAGAAATGTGGGGTATAATGAGGTAAATAATAGTAATATTTTGAAGCCAGAGAAACTGGCTTAGATCAGATCTCGATGGTAATTTGAAATAGTAAGT